CCTATCTTTGTGACTAACCAACTCATGATAAGAAGAACACTTACATTCCACATTTTTTTATTCAACATCATGAAAGAAAAAAGTCTTTAACCAGTCCTCTTACTTGGGTTCTACGCTGAGAAATCTGGGTAGTTTAACCAAGTACATTTCACTTCCTAAATCATAGTTGACACTGGGAATTTCTATTTCTATTCTACTTTCAGAAATCAGCTCTTCCCCACGCTGGTCCTGAGGTTCTCCACTTTCAGCCTAAAAGAGGAATCAGAATGTGAGACCTTGAAGTGACATTCAAAATGCTCTAGCTCTTCTCCCGCACCAGGCAGATCAGGTTTGACAGGAAGTAAATTTAAACACCACGTTAGGGATGAGGCATTCAGCTACCACGCCAGGCCCTTCCCTCAAATTTCACCCTTTCTCCCATTAAAAGACATCATGGGAAACAAGATCCGTTAGCCTGCATTACCAGAACAAATATCTATTTGTTGCTGACATACCTCCTTTGCATAAGACAATCAGCAGCACAAGAGTGAAATCACGCAGCCCTTCAGCACTGACTATTACAACCAGAGAAGAACGGCAAACAGCACACACATCCGGGCAGAGGTGTGAATGAGAAAAACTTTAAAATCAAAGGTTTTCAAATGATGAGTCCTCACAGTCCAGCCTCCAAAATTTGGCTTCAGCGTCATCCTGAGCAGTTCCGTCTATGTCCTCTAGTAACCAGAAATTCCCAACATAGCTAAGAAAGTCACCCACATATCACGTTTCAGACCCCTTAGCTACCCATGTCCTTTTTCCAAATAAGACTCAGATCCATCAGCCATTGGGACTTCTTGCTCAGCTTTGAACATTGGGACCAGTTGAGATCAGTGATCATACTTACAACAGGCTGCCCTGGAATAGGTGGTTGATCATCCCCATCACTCTCTGAGGAAATGTCGTCTATGTCTCCAAACAGATCCATGGCCCCAATAAAATCTTCCATGTTGAGAGAAAATGCACAGTATTAATATCCCTGACTAAAGTTCTTCACACAATCCTTAGCCCATCACTTCAACATAATGCCAAGATTCATAAAGCGCATCTCCATTTAACCAACCTCAAACTGACCCCTTGAGCCCAGTCCTCCAGAGCCTGACATAATGTGGATGGAGGAGTAAGTGGCAGAGTTGGTGGGTGGGAGGCAGCGTTGCTGTAATAGGAGCTTTCAAGCAGCTTCCACTGGTTCCTGCCTCTGATGCCCTCGCCCTCGCACAGTCCCCTCCAACATTGTGTCATGGTTGTTCTATGTGACCAGCAGAAAAGAACCTCACTTCCAAGGGTTGGCCAGCACACTGGGGCTCTTCGGCCTTCCACTTTCTCTCCTGGGTCACTTGCTCTGGAGGAAGCCAGTGGCCATGATGTGAAGAAACAGAACTGCTTGGAACAGCTCCTGTGGTGACAAACTGAGGCCTCCTGCCAAGAGCCGAGTGAGTGAGCCACCTTGGAAACACTTTTGTCAGCCCCAGACAAGCCTTCAGCTCAGGGCTCAGCGGCCCACTTGACTGCAGCCTTATGGGAGACCGAGTCAGAACCACTTTTCTAAGCCATTCCCGACCCTCAGACCCCTTGAGACACAGTAAATGTTTGTTGCTTCAAGCGGGCGCTCGCAGGGGATGGACTCGGAAACGCTGTGGGGTAGCATGCCGCTCACACAAGATGTATCTGTTCCAGCACTCTCTTCTCCTTAAGATTTTGGATTTCCCCCACATAATGCCAGGGAAGCTTTGGCATCTCAGATTCATTAAATGTAGGCCACCACTGTGTTTTTTTATTCAGTAACCAGGTACCAGAATATGGAATACACCAAATCATGGTATATGAAAAGTTTACCCACATCGGTACATTTGGCCCCAAAGCGCCTGGCCTTCATTTCACATTCATAGAATCCACTTCCACACCTGTTCTCCAAGCTTCTGCCTCTATTCATTAGCAAAATCTTGTAATTCTTTTGGTGTATAAGCTGTTTCTCCTCCAGTCAGTTTGCAACTTCTTGGCCAGAGAATGAGGGGCCCCTACTGATGGGTCTCCTGGCAGAAAGTGGGTCGAACAGCACTCGGTGGAGTGAGCCCTGAGGACGATGGGGACCGTCCCCACAAGATGTTCATTTCCTCACACACACAGGGAAGCCAAGCTGCTGCTTACAGGCCAGGGAGCCTCAGAGCGACAAGAAAATTTGAGTTCTTCAGCTTCATTGCACTCCAAGCAGACACCCCCATCCTTAGCTTCTTTCTCAGTCAATGCCCTTTCACACGAAAGACCTGAAGGGGCTATGAATTCATGTGATGCTGTAATTCTGCAAGCACACAATTAGTTCTGTGTTTGATTTACAGCTACCTCAGTCCTTTTGACTACGAGGTATGAGAGATTCTTCTGGGACTGCTAGGAAAGCGCACGGGTCTGACCCTGACTTGAGCTGAATGTTAAAAAAACTAAGCTTGTGATTGCCTCTCTGTCAGTGCTCAGGGCACTCAGAGGATCCACCCCACAACACACTCCTGAGAGTCCTCAGCCCTGCCTGACAAGAGCAGCAGCCGCGTGAGCCCTCAACCGAAGGGGCCCCTGAGCCATCACGGCACCGCCGTCCTGTTCCCACTGGCGAGGAGCTCAGACCTGTGTCCCAGCCCAGAACAATCTACAGATTCCATCTCTGAGAATTTACCTCTTGAAGTACCCACTCAGGACCCAGTTGGACAACAGAAACAAACCAGATAGAATTTAATTGTCAGAAATTGAAATAAGGTTTGAAGTTGTTGATTAGCTAACAGAAGTATAAAATGAAAACTCTAAGGGACCACAGAAATGGCAAATTCAGACAGCAACTCCCACTCCTAGAGGTGAGGGAACAAAGGGGAGAGGTAGAGTGATTAAACTTGCAAACTTACAGAAGCAGCTGCCTCTCGCCCATACCTGAGGCAGGTGCCCCTCACCCATACCTGAGGGAAAGTGCCCAGCTGGTACTGACGGCTCTGGCTCTCGGGAGGACAAAGAAGCCGGCTCTCCAAGTGCTGCTGAGAGGGGAAATTAGATGGAGCTGCTGGGGGAGCAACAGCCTCTCCTCAGGTGAGCGAGCACTGGTGCGCCCCCTAGACAAACTGCAAGGCAACAGGAAGCCCCGGAAAGTTCCAGCAGTAGACAGGAAGGAGCAAGCTCCCAGTCTTCCTCTAGCGCCCCTAATAGGGGGAGCTGGCAAACCGGACATGCGATGGCAGGGCTTGGCCCCAGCACAGCTGAGGTTAGGCTAGAAGGAGAGGGTTTGGAGATGAGAAACAAGAGCTGCACAACAATGTCTGCAAGTAAAACCAAGCAAGCAAATAAAACCCAGAAGTTCTTAGCTTGGAAAAGACAGAATGAAAGCTCTTAAAAGCCAGGCATAAGAGCTCCAATTCGGTAAGCTAAGAAATAGCAAGGGACAGACAGTTTTTCAGTCAGGCAAGTGACTCTCTCTCCATCCCACTTTCTCTGCATCAGGCTTCAGGGTGAGCCCCCCACAGCCAGCACTCCCAGAGTGCACCGACAGCTCTGGGGAGGAAGCGGGGTGGAGTCCGCGCATAGGGGAAGAGCAGTCAGTGCGCTAGAAGAGCACCTCCGCAAAGACCACGTGTGCGTGTGGTGGATTCCAAACGTCTCCACAAATTCTTTGCCATCCCAACTATCAAGAGTCAAATTTCCCTCTGAATATGGGCTCACATTAGTGACTCGCTTCTAATGAACAGAACACGGGGGACTTGGATGTGACTTTCAATGCTGCTCATAAAAAGCAATACCCAACAAGGTAACGCATCTCTCCCACGGGTCTGCCTTGGGCGCTCAGCTGCGGACCCAGCCACCAGACTGTGAGGAACAGGGCCGGGCCTAGGCTGACAGGTGAGGTCCTCACCTTGGGCGTAAAATATGAGGGTGTCAGAATCCCAGGGATCAAGATAAGTGATTCTGTAATACAATGTTTTTTAAACTCCAAGTAAAAAACCCGTGAACAAAATAAAATTTTAAGAAGGGGAGCCTTCGGGCCAGCTGTACTTGTGCAGTTCTTCTCACTTGTCTTACACTAATCCCAGGCCTGTCAGATCCTGTCTTTAATGTAAAATTGTTAAATTTTATATATGACATATTTTTTGCATTAAGTTTTTTAATGTTCTTTACAAAATTACTCATCCCGATTACTGTAGTTGGATGAATCGGGAGCCCTTGCCCCACTGAAATTCCATTCATCCAGAACCTCAGAATGTGACTTTATTTGGCAATAGGGTTTTCGCAGATGTAATTTGTTAAGATGAGATCCCACTGCATTAGGGTTGGGCCTAAATCCATATTGGTGTCCTTATAAGCAAAGAGAGATCTGGAGACACACAGAGACACAGAGCAGACACCGCAGAGAAATGAGGCATGTGACGACAGAGGCAGGGATTGGACTTAGGCTGCCACGAGCAAAGGGTTTGCTGGGAACCCCCGCAGCCAGGATGAGGCAAAGGAGGATTCTTCCCTAGACGTGTCAGGCGGCTCGCGGTCCTGCTGACACCTGGATTCAGGCTCAGGAGCTCTAAGAAAACACATTCTGTGGCTTTAAGCCACCTGGTCTGTGGTACTTTGTCACCGTAGCCTTAGCAAACAAAGACAGTTCCAAAGGTCTTTTCAAGCCTCTTTAAACTCTGCACCCTGGAAGGGGATGCCTTGCTCACCCCATCTGACCCGAACCAGGAGTTTATTTTGTGGGGGATGGAAGGAAGGGGCGGGGGCACAGCAGCAGGAATTCACTAAAACCTAAGACTCAACATAAGGTGTTAACATATCAACTTAGTTTGTGAAGTCTATTTCTCAAACGCAGACTTGATTTTAAAATCTTTTATTACAATTAAAGTTACAGAAAAGCAAATCTATTCATTGCAATCAAAATAACTCATGTTTACATATTTATAAAACAAACTGTACAATAAAATATATAAAATGTTTTTATACTTGTACTTCAATCATCATCTTCTCCCTCTTCATCACTGATCACGTACTTCTTATGCTTTTTATTTGGGTTATCATCATCTTCTGCTTTTCTCTTTCCAGAAAGTTCACCCTCCTAAAAAGATAAAATTTTTTAAATCATAAAACCAACAGAGAATTCAACACCAATTCATGAAAAAACCTCTCAACAAAATGGGTATAGAGGGCAGGTACCTCAACATAATAAAGGCCATATATGACAAACCCACAGTCAACATCATACTTTACAGTGAGAAGCTGAAAGCTTTTCCTCTAAGATTGGGAACAAGACAAGGATTCCCACTCTCTGTTTTTTTATTCAACATAGAACTGGAGGTCCCAGCCATATTGTACATAAAAAGTTGTACATATCTGAATTCAGCAAAGTTGCAGGATGCAAAATTAATACACAGAAATCAGTTGCACTCCTACACACTAACAATGAACTAGCAGAAAGAGAAATCAGTAAAACAACTCCATTAACAATTGCATCAAAAAGAATAAAATACCTAGGAATAAACCTAACCAAGGAAGTGAAGGACCTATACCATGAAAACCACAAGACCCTCAAGAGAAATTAAAGAGGACACTAATAAGTGGAAATGCATCCCATGTTCCTGGGTAGGAAGAATTAATATTGTCAAAATGGCCATCCCTCCTAAGGCAATCTATACGTTCAATGCAATCCCTATCAAAATTCCGAACCTTTATTCAACAAACTGGCAAAAATAGTTCTAAAATTCATATGGAACCACCAAGATAATGACCAACCATAGCAATCCTGAAAAGGAAGTATAAAGCAGGGGGAAATATGGTTCCAAATGTCAAGCTCTACTACAAAGCCACAGTAACCAAGGCAATTTGGTCCTGGCAGAAGAACAGACCCATAAACCAGTGGAAAAGAACAGAGGGTCCAGATATTAACCTAAGCATATATGATCAATTAATATATGATAAAGGAGCCATAGATAAACAATGGAGCAATGACAGTCTCTTCAACAGCTGGTGTTGGCAAAACTATACAGCTACATGTAACCAAATGAAACTGGATTACTGTCTATCCACATACATAAAACTAAACTTGAAATGGATAAAAAACCTGAAGGTAAGTCATGAAACCATAAAACTCTGTTGAATATAAATATGAACAACATTTTCATGAGCATATATCCCCAGGCAAGGGAAACAAAAGCAAAAATGAATAAGTGGGACTATATCAAGCTGAGAAGCTGCTGTACAGCAAAGGACACCATTGGTAGAACAAAAAGGCATCCCACAGTATGGGAGAATATATTTATACATGACATATCCAATAAGGGGTTGACATCCAAAATATACAAAGAGCTCACACACCTCAACAAACAAACAACAAATAACCCGATTAAAAAATGAGGAGAGGATCTGAAAAGATACTTCTCCAAAGAAGAAATCTAGATGGCCAACAGGCACATGAAAGATGCTCCACATCACTAATCATCAGAGAAATGCAAATTAAAACTGCAGTGAGATACCACCTCACACCAGTTAGAATGGCCGACATCCAAAAGAAAAACAACAACAAATGCTGGCGAGGATGTGGAGAAAGGGGAACCCTCTTATACTGCTGCTGGGAATGTGACTTAGTTCAATCATTGTGGAAAGCAGTATGGAGGTTCCTCGCAAAGCTCAAAATAGAAATACCATTTGACTCAGGAATTCCACTTCTGGGATTTTACCCTAAGAATGCAGGATTCCAGATTCAAAAAGACATACGTGCCCCTATGTTTATCACAGCACTATTTACAATAGCCAGGAAATGGAAGCAACCTAGGTGTCCATCAGTAGATGACTGGATAAAGAAGATGTAGTACCTATACACAACAGAATATTATTCAGCCATAAAAAGAAAACAAATCCTACCATTTGCAACAACATGGATGGAGCTACAGAGTATTATGCTCACTGAAATAAGGTATGCAGAGAAATACAAGTACCAAATGATTTCACTCATCTGTGGAGTATAATATCAAAGCACAAACTGAAGGAACAAAACAGCAGCAGACTCACAGAACCCAAGAAAGGACTAACAGTTACCAAAGGGAAAGGGACTGGGGAGGATGGGTGGGAAGGGAGAGATAAGGGGATTAAGGGTCATTATGATTAGAACACATAATGTGGGGAGAAGGGCATGGGGAAGGCGGTATAGCTCAGAGAAGTCAAGTAGTGACTCTATAGTATCTTACTATGGTAATGGACAGTGACTGTAATGGGGCATGTCATGGAGACTTGATAATGGGGAATATCTGGTAACCACAATGTTGCTCATGTAACTGTGTATTAAAGATACCATAATAAAAATACATAAATAAATAAAAGCCAACAGAGTATTTCTTAGGAAGATTTACCAAAATTAGCTCTGAACTTAATAACCTACTGAAAACCCAAAATAAAATAACGGCTTTAATAAGCACATTCAACAGATGAATAAAACCATAGTTTTATTTTATTCTCCAGTGGGACCCTTCAAGAGACCTCACATTTTGTGAAGGAATTTTTCAGAATGTGAGATTCTGCCCTACTGAACTTAGCTGGAATACATACCTGTGCCATTGTATAAATGCAACAAATGGCAAAAATATTCATATTAGATTAAAAGAAAGTTTGCATATAGCTATAAATGCAGATCCATATAGACATAGGGCCAGGCAGCCCACAGTTACCAATGAGTTGCCACTGTCTTCCAACAAATTATTTTTAAGAGTACTTACAAAAGTCAGACATTTTGTTCCACGCTAATAAACCAGCTACCAAAGTTTACTTAACTCGCCAAAACAACTAAGGATACACATAATTCAAAGTGTCTTAAAGTATAAGAGATCAATGGTAAGAATATCAAGGCTTCTAGGGAAACACAGTTGACCCCTGAATAACGCAGGAATTAGGGGCACCAACCCCACACACTTGAAAATCCATGTATAACTTGTGACTTCCCAAAATCATACCTACAATAGCCTATTGTTGACTACAAGCCTTACCAAAGACACAACAGTTGACTAACACATATTGTGTAGGTAACATGCATTATATACTATATTCTTATAATAAAGTAAGCTAGAGAGTATTTTTTTTCAAATTGTTACAAATCTTCAAAATATTTCCAATATTATTTATTGAAAAAAATATGCATATAAGTGGACCCACACAGCTGAAAGCTGTGCTGTTTAAGGATAAACGTATGTTCAGAATCCCAATCACGGGAAACATCCACGCTGAGGGGAAGCTGGGACTCTCCCAGTTCCAAGTTGCCGAAGGCCCCATACACAGAGGGGAAGAGCCTCTAACAGGTATGGGAGGGTTGCCAGGAGGGGCGTGGGGGCCCCATGAGGGACAGCTGGGAGAGGAAAGAGACGGGAGAGCAAGCAGCCCCCTGGGCACCCAGTCACTGCCGGCAGGACTACCTCCCAGCCCGCAGCCCTCTCCTTAGGAAAGCTGAGGACTGGCTGTAAACCTCTCCTCCCCACTGTCCTCACGATTCTTTGCACTCGAGTCTTTCCCTCTTCTACTGTTTCTCGTCTGACCCACTTTTCTGCCTTTGAAGTAATTTAGGTTTTCTAAAGTTTCTACTGCTTACAAAAATAAGGGAGAATAAAAAGCTCTATTATGCTCCTTTTCTGCAACTTAGGTCCCTTTGGGGAAGGACAACTGGCATTTACTGTTCAGCTACTACATGTCACTGAGTTAGCCACTTTCATATCTGTTATTTACTATAATACAACTTCACAAGGCAGCAAGCAAAAAGCCCACTGAACACATGAGGAAACACACTCAGAAATGTGAGACGGCCTGCTCAAGGACATACTAAGGGTACAGGGTAGCCCCGGGATTCAACAGGCCAGTCCCCTCTAATCCAGGCTCCCGCCCTTTCTCCCTTATCTAGGAATGCTCTGATGGTAACAGTGGCTCTCTGGTATGGGAACTTAAAATCTGAAAACTCCCCTGTATCTCAGGCATACCCAGGCTCAAGGCATGTGGGTGGGATCTGATGTACAAATAAGAAGGATCTAGAGCAGGTAGGACCCATTTTCTCTTCTTTCCCATTGTAACCCATGGCCACAGCTTGACTGGGGTAATATTGGGAGGCAGCGGCAGGGGAAGTCCAGGCAGAGTTAAAATATCTGTTGTCAGGAAAGGGGAAGGGAAGGGCACAGGAAAACCTAACAGTATTTAGGTGAGGAAGGCAGCGGGTAGCTCCTGTAACAGCCGGCCAGGAGGCACTCACGAGTCATCTTAAAGTCAGACACTTTCAGGTTTGTGCATGCCCCGCCTGGAAGAAGGCTATTTCCTGAATCACATGAAAATCTCATTTCTGAGAACACCAGGAATAAACAGAAGTCCCGTGGCACTTCTCAATTTTCATTCACAGTTTTTGCTTGCCAAGAAGTAAAATGGTATCTGCTTAGTTAAGGATTCTCATTTGCCAATAATTCAATACACTACAAATTTATTGTTAAGACATTTAAAACAAAAACAATGCAGAGTAATTTAACAATTTCTATCTACTTACCCTCTATAATATGCCACTTCCAGGAAGGATTTGGAAATACTAAATGCTGTGATTAGCAAACAGTAATATAAGAATGAAATTTGTATTCATGCATATATATATATATATATGTAAGAAAGAAGCTTACATACAGTTCACAGATGGCCAAATATCATCAAGACTCATTAAAACCATGGATAACAAGAACACACCATGTACTTCCTGCAATACAGCAAAACAATCCTTTGAAAAGTCCTCCCACTGAAAATAACTAATTACGGGAAAACACAAACAAGTCAGTGTGATTCCAAGAATATAGGATAATTGGAAGCCAAAAAATTAAAAGAAAACAGAACCCACAGAGATATAAGTGTAGCACTAAAGCAGGCTTTCTCCTTGAAGACATTTACCAACTGTGTGAACATGAGCTTTTGTTTTTAGACCTTGCAGGGTGCTGAGGACAGGAGACAAAGGCCGAGTGGAACAGACTAAGGGCAGATCTCAAAGGACGGTATCTTCAGCTACAGGTGGAGCAGAAGTAAGCCCAGGACCAGTTCTCTGAAGCAGGAGTCAGGAACAGTTTTGGAAGAGGGCCAGATAATAATTGTCTTAGACTTTGCAAGACATACAGTTCTGTTGCAACTACTCAACTCTGCCACTATATCAGGACAACATCCACAGACAACACATAAATGAAGAAGAATGAAAAACAGGTAGCAGGCAAGATTGGGTCAGAGGGAGGTAATCAGCCAACACACAATCTAAAATAACTGCAAGGATCATAATTTCTAATCTCAAATGTTAGAACTAATTGACAGGGAACTAAAAACAAAAATAAAAATATTTCTAGGAAAATTCATAACCACAATTCAGAACTCATATTTCCAGGTATCTAAAAAGACCTTATTCCAAGAATATAATTTAAAGTGATCCCAGGAGGTTGATGCCCAAGGCACCTGGCAAATATATATCATTTTTGGAAGAACTCATCAATCTAGATCTCAAAAAGTCCTGTTGATCTGAGCAATCATTTAATCACAGAACACACAGAGAAGTGAGTCATCATTAAGGAGAGCCAGCAGAGGTAACACGCAATAAAATCACATGTGTAAACATTTCAGACACTGGAATTATCAAACATAAAAGCCCTATGTGTAGACTAAAAAATTTTAAGGACATAAAAAGGAGAAACTGAAAATGTGAATTAGGAGCAAGACTTTAAAAAATGACCAATTTAAAAAAGAACCGAAAATCTATACATTTTTACATGGCCAATTTGAAAAAAAACAACTAAACCTCTAGAGATGGAAACTAAAACAAAGTAAAAACCCAAGGAAAGCAATGAACAGAAATTAGGCACAGCTAAAGACAGCAATGAAATGGACAAAGGATCTGGAGAATCATCCCAGAATGCAGAGACGAAGACATGGAAAATATGAGAATAGTTTGAGAGTCACGGAGGACAGAGGACAGGGTAACATGGATTTAATCACAGTCTCACAAAGAGAAAGGAAAGGGAATAGTACAGAACCACTAACACTACAGAACTGATGGCTGAGAAATTTTCAAAACTGATGAAAGATACGAAACCACATATTGACGAAGCCTAACGAATCCCAATCAGAAAAATAAAAAGATATGCAAAATAGGCAGCACAGTAAAATCCAAGAACACCAAAGATTTGAAAAATCTGAAAAGATAAAAATAAATAAGTCCTCGGGAAGTATTGTGCAGCATGATGACTATAGTTAATATCATATTACATATATGAAAATTGTTAAGAGCACCAATCTTAAAAGTTCTCATCACAAGAAAATAAAATTTGTAATTATGTTTGGTGACAGATGTCATCTACACTTACTGTGCTGATCATTTTACAATATGTACATGTACATATGCCAATCACAATGTTGTACACCTGAAACTATAATATGTCAATTATATCTCAAAGAAAGGACTTCAAATGTCTCAGTCCTCTTATAATTTGAAAAGGATACTGTTAAAAATATAAGTTCAAATATTTTTAAATTACTTTGGAATAAGTTTTATTAATCCAATAATAGATGGAAGTTTAAGTTACTCAATTACTTGACACTATTTCAAATACTATTTCATCTAAATAAAAAGTAAAAAAAATTGGGGAAATTGGAGAAGAGGATAAAAAGGTACAATTTCCAATTATAAATAAGTCACGGGGATGAGAAGCTTAGCATACAGAATACAGTCAATAACGCTGTGATGACTCGGTAGGATGACAGATGGCAACTATACTCATCCTGAGGAGCTTCTGCAATGTATATAATTCTTGAATCACTATGTTGTGTATCTGAAGCCAGTATAATACTGTATACTGTATGTCAACTAGACCAATCAGAAAAAAATTTTCTTAGCACAAGTTTTTCTACCATAAGGATTTTCTCTGTAATTTAAAAAATATATTGAAAAGGAAAAGACAAAAAGGAGGAGATACACCCTCTCATCTACACACACTGAACAGTTCCTAGCTATCCAGCTGGGCCTTGGTCTCAGAGCCCTGGGCCTCTTCTCCCAGGCCTTTCCACCCACCCAGCATGCCCACCCTGGCTGCCATGCCCTGCAAGATGACACTTTCAACACCCAGTGAGAGGTCAGAGGCGTCAGAGTCTCCTCTGGGCCACTCGCACACCTGCATTTATGCCACTGAGTTTCAGTACAGTATACAGACATCTGTCTGTGCTTCTGGGCTGGGGGCTCCTCTTCATTCCTGGTGTTGACTCAGGCATACAGGGTAAACCCCTATAATTAAGTACATTTGGTTTTTACCTCATCACTGGTGAGTTTCTTTGCTTTCAGTAATCTTTGAGCCTTATCTTCTTCGGATCCCTCATCACTGTCTGAAGAAGAGATTCTGGCACGTTCCTCTGAAAGCAAAGGAATAAGATCTGTGACTGACTTTCAAAGACAGAGATCAATTCATTCCTAGGTTTTCCTTGATGAGTGTCTTTACTTCCTTCTGTACATTTCTCCCAGAGAAAACAAATAAAACCTTTTTGATTTAAAGATAAATATAAATTTAGATATGTTGAAACAAAGCACTTACCCTCTCAAAGACAAGAATGGCCCATCTGATCACTTTTAAATATTAAAAAGGCTTGTGTGCAAGGTGACAAAAGACACACCACAATTCTTCCAAAATAAGCTACTAAAGCCCGAGTCATTCTTTCATGGGACTAATACTTAATTCTAAAACAGGCTTTGAAGATAAAACCAAGAGGTGGTTTCCTGGTTCTGTAAAGGACCTGGCAACCTTTCTGTTGCCAAGAGGACATTTCAAAGGGAGATGCAAACAATCAACAGTGCGGACACCCCAGCCCAGGGGAACTGCGGGGTAGAAGAGCAGCAGCTGACTTTAGCCCAGGACTAACCCCCTCACCTCAGAACACAAAGCCTGCCCCTTCTCCCCATTCTCTGCCTTTCTGAGCACTGGACAGAATGGAACGCTAATGAAGTTGTCTATTCAGTTTTTAATCTCTGGTGAGCTGAATATGATATAATTCTCTCCCTAAAACATCCTTCATTTTTTGTTTTTATTTACTTCTTATGTGGTTTACTTACACAATTAATCTTTTCAGTGAGAAATCAGCACTAAAAGAGAAAGGAAAGGTCTCTGTACTGTACAAATAATTACTAGGTAGGTAAGGAAGGGTGTAAGAGTGCACCATAAAAGATACAGTCACTGCAAGATAAGGAGAGAGGAGATTTATAGGATGATCAGGGAAGGGGATATCTGAGTGTTCTTAAAATGTATCACTCAACAGGGAAAAAACTAGGATGCACGGTCACCCATGGTATACTGTATATTGCACAGTGATTACCAAAACTATCTGGGGGAACTAATCTGGGGAGGATTAGAGCCCCATTTATAGATGGGGAACACATTGTTCAGAGATATGATATTACTTGCCTGAAGCTGACAAGAACAGTAACAACAGTTTTAGGTAACATTTATTTAGTACTTGTTATGGGTCAGGAGATGCGTAAAGTACTTTATACGTATTTTATCATTTAATTCTCAAAACCTCACGCTATAAATTCTACTGTTAATACGTTATTTCTCCCCTGATGAGGTAACAGAAGCGAGGTATTATAACTTTCCACAAGTCACCATCTAAAAAGTGGCAGAACTGAGTGAGATTCAAACAGAAAGAATCAAGAGTCCAGCCCAAGACTTCCATCGTTACGTTCAGCTTGCTTTTCAGCATGTTGTCTTGCTGCTGGCTGCGGGGAGACGTCGGGGCGAGTATTGTGGCTGAGACAGATGCCTCAGAGGGCAGACAACCCTGGTTCAAGAACTGCCCACTTACTGTGTGTTTTCGGTAAGTCACTAAACCTCTCAAAGTCTCTGTTTCTTCAGTAATAACAAGACAAAAATGGACTGTGAGGGCATTATGCCAAGTGAAATAAGCCAAGCAGAAAAAAAACAAATATTGTATGATCTCACTTATACGTCAATCTAAAAACAAAAACATAGATAAGAGAGAACAGATTGATGGCTGCCAGAGGCAGGAGCTAAGGGGTGGGAAAAACGGGTGAAGGAGGTCAAACATTACAATCTTCCAGTTACAAAATAAGTTCTAGGGAATGTAACGTACAGCATGGTGGCTATAGGTAATTGTACTGCACTGCGTATCTGCTAGAGAACAGATCTTAAAAGTTTCTATCACAAAAAAAATTTCATAACTGTATATGGTGACAAGTTAACTAGATTTATTGTGCTCATCATTTTGCAATATATATAAATGTGGAATTGTTATGGTGCACACCCAAAATTAATATAGTGTTGTATGTTAATCACACCTCAATTAAAAAAGAAAAGAACAAGACAGTAATAGTAGCTGGGTCATAACACTGTTACAAGGATCAAACAGGATGCACATAAAGGGTTTGAGTGTTGCCTGGGATTCAGTATGTGTTAAATAAATATTAACCATTTTGCTAGTTGTGAAAGAAGGGAATATGCAAAGGAGAACTTTGAAAGGAAACAAGTATTTTCTGAAAACTTTAAATTTTGGATTCCCAATTAGTGATAAAAAAATTGAGAGAAGTTCCAAATATAATTGGCAAACCTTCAAACCAGAAAGCAGAAGCTGAAGGGACTTGTCTGTAAGTAGGAGCAACAGCAGTTCCTACCCGTTCAGGCTCACCTGAAAGAATTCTGCAACGACTAAATTCATTAGACCTTTAAATATATCCTCATTAACACTGGCTCCTTAAAAATAAAATGTCCAGTGGAGCATTCGGAGTATACCAAGTTACAAAGAAAAAGCAGTTACAAAAAAGTGAACCTTGAAAGGACATTTACTTTCCGCACAAGCTTACCCCGAATGCCCCCCTTGTATCGGTTTTTAATGGCCGCCAAGCTGATGGACTCCTCGCCCTCCTCCTCCTCGTCGTCAGGTTCCAGGTAACTGGCCCTTGGCCCCCGCTGGTGCTGTTTCTCTCTCATTCGGCGCTGCTGAGATTCCCTGTGAGTAGAAGCCCTTAAACGTTCTTTTTCTTTCTGAAAAGAAGCAAATAAACAACTCAGCTTAAAGACAGGAAGTATCTTAGTGCCCACTTGAAACCATCTTTATTATAAGAACTTGTAAATTCCCAGCCCAGAATAGCATGTATTTCCCGGGTCCTCAGAGCCCAGTTCTCCCCATTTCACGCGCCCTCGCCGTCCGCAGGGATCAGCTGGTTCGGCCCCGAGGCGTGAGAGCACCGCGCCAGGGCCGAGGCCGGGGGCGCCCTCCCACCACCCCCGACCAGAACGGGCGTCTGTCCGGCATTCCGCACATGGGGGTTCACAGGGCAAGACCAGCGTCGAAAGACTCAGGAACGGCCTTCTGATCTTCCTGTATCACTTCCGATGATAGCTGCCAAAGGTTTCGTTTTTTACATTAACAGTTTCCCTCTGAAATCTCACAGATTGAAGAGAGAGCACCTGAGCGCCTCACCACCTGGATGCCTCACTGACATTCCTTGGTTAATGACACTCACAGGGCAGCTGGCTCCCTGAGAGCTGTAATAGGTAAAATGGCCGTGGCAATAAGAAATCGAGAATTCATAGTCTGGAGAGTCACTACTTGTCCTCTCTGTGGAAAGCACAGTTCTTAATGCCCCCAAAATCCCAGGATAAAGCTCAGCCGACATACCTTAATCATTCCTGTGCGTTCACGTTCAGGATCACGGCAGAGCATTGGTAAGATCCTCATCTTGTGTGTCCTTGAGCACCTATCAGCAGGCGGCAGCGTCACCTTCCTGTGGGTGGCACTGTCTGCAGAATGAGGTCTGCGAGGACATGAACAAAAATGGGTTTGCTAAGAACATTTGGAGGCCATCCTACCAATAAGCAAAAGCAGCTGTGGGAAATGACCACTGCCCTCAGCAGAGCAGGGAGGCAGGGCCACAGGTCCTGGCGCTCGGGACCTTCCTCCTTCTCTGACTCTCGCAGCAGATCCCTCCTCTGCCACTGATGGGGTGAAGAGGGTGGGGGGCAGGAGACCAGGAGGTAGGGTCCAGGACTTTTTTTTTTTCTTGAGAGGGCATCTCTCATATTTATTGATCAAATAGTTGTTACCAACAATAAAATTCTGTATAGGGGACTCAATGCACAATCATTAATCAACCCCAAAGCTAACTCTCAACAGTCTCCAATCTTCTGAAGCATAACGAACAAGTTCTTACATAGGGAATAAGTTTTTAAATGGTGAACAGTGCAAGGGCAGTCATATCACAGAAACTTTCGGTTTTGATCATGCATCATGAACCATAAACAATCAAGTCAGATATGATTATTCATTTGATTTTTATAGCTGATTTATATGTGAATCCTACATTTCTCCCTTATTTATTTTTTTAAATAAAATGCTGAAGTGGTAGGTAGATGCAAGATAAAGATAGAAAGCATAATTTAGTGCTGTAAGAGGGCAAGTGTAGATGATCAGGTCTGTGACTATATAAGTATTAATCCAAGCTAGGCAAGGGCAACAAAACATCCACGGATGTGGAAGATTTCTCTCAAAACGGGGGATGAGGTTCTAAGCCTCACCTCTGTTGATCCCCAATTTCTCACCTGATGGCCCCCCTGCGACTGTGCCTGTCTTAGGTTGTTCCTCCCTTGAGGAATCTTTCCTGACTCTGGTTAACCAGCCGTCTTGGGTCCAGGGCTTTTACAGAGAAAACCCCCAACTACAGTCAGAGGAGAAAGGATATGAAGTCTCAGTTCCATGAGGGTGGCAGAGGCCAGGAGGCACAAATTTATAACTAAAGATGAGCCCCTCTGCTTGAAGAAAACTGGAAGGAAGGTCAAAGCAAGGAGGCAAGTCACAATAGCAGGGCCTTCAGGACAGCCCAGGGGGACAGTAACAGCTGAAACAGAAGCAGCCTGTGGTCCTTGGGGAGCTGCATTTCAAAAGCATGTCAATCAGGGTTGAGCTGGGCTTTCCACACAACCTCTCCGCCTTGCTGCTCTTTAGCTGCGAGTAACAATACAGCAATATGAGTAGTTACCGAAAGGTGAGCTTGGATTTAAAGATGGCTTGTCCTTGGAGACCAGTGGCTTCCCTAACAAACAGGTGGTTGAGATTGCCTTGCAGCGGGGTTTTGTAGACATCGAACACTTCATTGCCTAAATGCAAGGACAGGCTGGAAATGAGAAATACTTCAGGTTATTACGGTGAATCCTATTTCATGATTCACCTATGGCTTCCATTCTGCCTTATCAGCTTTACTTAAAATGCTGGGAACTGCAGGACCCTGTCCTCATACTGAATTCATAAGAAAAATGAAGAAAAGATACACTAAATATCTAACCTATCTCATTTTAAAGTAATAGGTAGTGAAATCCATCCTCCTTTCAACTTGAAATATAATCATCATTTTCCCCATCTCTACCACTTCATTGGTGAAACAATCAATTTTTCAAGAATATAAATTTATAATGATCTGGCAGCTAACGTTAGGCTTTCACCTCAGTAAGGGAGATATGAATGAGGTCACAAACTGTATGATTTCAACCCTCTTTATTTCTCTCAGGTTTCCCAGGCAAGGTCGCTCATTCATCCCAGGCATTCTAAGATATTATGTGCTCACCTGTCATCTGACCACTTCACAATCCGAGCATTGCTTTCTTTAATTTTATTTCCTTCCTCATCCCGGCGTATCCTCCACCGTATAGTATTTTCTACCTGGCTCAAAACACAAAGGCTTTAGAGAACCAGTGCGACTGGGGCATGGGTTTTTTGTGTGCTCAAGTGACTTAGTAACATACCAAGGATTCATAGGTAGTGACAGAATAAGGTGACAGAACAGCTGACTAGGCAACACTGAACCATCCTAGAGATACTGGTTAAACTAACCAGACCCTTTGTCTAAAACTTTCTGAGCTCCAAGTCATAGTGCAAGAAGCTAAATACAATGCAGGGTGGGGGTTGTATCAGACACCTTAAAAGCTACACAGGGGAGGGGAGGGACTTTGAGCCCACATGAGGTAGGCTGTTAAAATTGAGCCATCTGCCTATTGCAGGGCCACTGGAAGGGCTATGAGCCCAGTGAAGGAAGTGGCCATTAGTCTACAAGGAAGTTCCGGGTAATTTGTTAAAAAAAANTACATAAAAAATCATACATATCTGAATTCAGCAAAGTTGCATGATACAAAATTAATAGACAGAAAACTGTTGCACTCCTACACACTAACAATGAACTAGCAGAAACAGAAATCAGTAAAACAACTCCACTAACAATTGCATCAAAAAGAATAAAAGACCTAGGAATAAACCTAACCAAGGAAGTGAAAGACCTATACCCTGAAAGCTAGAAGACACTCTTAAGAGACATTAAAGAGGACACTAATAAATGGAAATTCATCCCATGTTCTCGGGTAGGAAGAATTAATATTGTGAAAAATGCCATTCCTCCTAAGGCAATCTATACATTCAATGTAATCCCTATCAAAATACTGACACCTTTTTTCAACAAACTGGCAAAAAATACTTCTAAAATTCATATGGAGCCACAAAGATAATGACTGGTCAAAGCAATCCTGAGACGTAAAAATGAAGCAGGGGGAATTATAGTTCCAAACTTCAAGCTCTACTACAAAGCCACAGTAACCAAGTCAATTTGGTCCTGGCACAAGAACAGACCCATAAACCAGTGGAACAGAACAGAGGGTCCAGATATTCACTCAAGCATATATGGTCAATCAATATATGATAAAGTAGCAGTATATATACAATGGAGAAATGACAGTGTCTTCAACAGCTGGTACTGGCAAAACTGGACAGCTACATGTAACCAAGTGAAACAGGATTATTGTCTATCCCCATACATAAAAGTAAACTCGAAATGGATCAAAAACCTGAATGTAAGTCAGGAAACCATAAAACTCTTAGAAGAAAACATAGGCAAAACTCTGTTGAATATAAATATGAACAACTTTTTCATGAGCATATATTGCTAGGCAAGGGAAACAAAAGCAAAAATGAACAAGTGGAACTATATCAAGCTGAGAAGCTGCTGTACAGCAAAGGACACCATCAATAGAACAAAAAGGTATCCTACAGTATGGGAGAATATATTCATAAATGACATATCTGATAAGGGGTTGTCATCCAAAATATATAAAGAGCTCATGCACCTCAACAAACAAAAACCAAATAACCCGATTAAAAAATGGGCAGAGGATCTGAACAGATACTTCTCCAAAGAAGAATTCCAGATGGCCACCAGACACATGAAAAGATGCTCCACATCACTATCATCAGAGAAATGCAAATTAAAACCACATTACCTAACACCGGTTAGAATGTCCAACATCCAAAAGACAAACAACAACAAATGCTGGCAAGGATGTGGAGAAAAGGGAACCCTCCAACACTGCTGCTGGGAATGTAAATTAGTTCAACCATTGTGAAAAGCAGTATGGAGGTTCCTCGAAAAGCTCAAATTAGAAATACCATTTAACCATACATTCTACTTCTAGGAATTTACCCTAAGGATACAGGATTCCATATTCAAAAAGACATACGCGCCCCTATGTTTATCACAGCACTATTTACAACAGCCAAGAAATGGAAGCAACCTAAGTGTCCATCAGTAGATGAATGGATAAAAATGTGGTACCTATACACAACAGAATATTATTCAGCCATAAAAAGAAAACAAATCCTACCATTTGCAACAACATGGATGGAGCTATAGAGTATTATGCTCACTGAAATAAGGCAGGCAGAGAAAGACAAGTACCAAATGATTTCACTCATCTGTGGAGTATAAATATCAAAGCACAAACTGAAACAGCAGCAGACTCACAGAAGCCAAGAAAGGACTACAGTTACCAAAGGGAAAGGGACTGGAGAAGATGGGTGGGAAGGGAGAGAGAAGGGGATTAAGGGT